GAGTCATGTCACCCCGGTGCTTCCTTGTGAGGAGACCTTTCCCAGACCCACCCTTGTTCGTGAAGGTTAGTTATTAAATGCTGCAGGGGGTGGGGGGTGCCAACGTCCGTTGATCCGTTCTTCCACGATGGGCCGTCGGGCTGTTTCCATGTGTTTGCTATTGTGGGTAGTGCTCCAACGGGCGTGGGCGTGCCTGTGTTTGTGCCTGTCACGGCCCTTGTTCCCCTAGGACATACACCACGTCGAGGGAGTGCTGAGTCAGATAGTATTTCTAGGAGCCCTGGTGGTGTAGTGCTTATGTGTTGGGCTGCTAACCCTAAGGGGAGCAGTTCAAATCCACCAGTGGCTCCGTGGGTAAAAGACAAGACTTTCTACTCCTGTGAAGAGTTACAGGCTCAGAAACCCACAGGGCAGCTCGACCCTGCCCTATAGGGCTTCTGTGACTCAGAATCAACTTGATGGCAGTGAGAGGGTTTATAGTATTTCTGGGCCCAACTTTGGGAAGAAGCGTCATACTGCTTTCCACGGTGGCTGCACATCCCACAGCCTCCCCAGCCGTGTGGAGATTAGGGTCCAGTCTCTCCACAGCCTTGCCAGCGTTTGTTGCTTTCTGTGTCCTTTTGTTTTGTGTTTCGCTATTCAGGCTGGGTTGAGATGGCATCTCACTGTTGCTTTGAGTTGCGTCTCTTGAAGGGCTAATGGTCACTAGCCGTTTCTTCATCTGTCCGTGGGCCCACAACGTGTCTTCTTGGGTGGACCGTCTGTTTGTGGGCTCTGCCCATAGCTCAATTGGATTGTTTCGCATTGTCTTGTTCAGGTGTGGACCTTTTCTATGAAGTTTACAGATCAGCCCCTTGTGTGATAGGTTATTGCCCCCAAAGAAAAATTTTTTCCCGTCTCTGAGTTCTATTTTACTCTTTTAGTGAAATTTTGATACAAGACAGTGTCTCAATGACGAGCGAGGTTTTTTGGCTTGTTTGTTTTCTCTGTTTTCATATACGACAACGCGGGTGTCACTCCATCGCTGATCTCGTCTCCAGTCATTAGTGTTCAATACATCAGTCAGGACTCAGGATGGTTTCTACACCCGGGTGCTGTATACTCCAAATCATGGACTTGCTTTAATTTTCCACTTGCAAATATGGGAGCGATCCATATGTGTGCCCATTCCATGTTTGGTAATAGTTATTGACAAACTGGTGGTACTTCTGCAATGAATATCAGAGATGAGGTCCATAAACCTCTAGCAATCAAAGCAGGCCTTGATGAATTGTCTCTGTCATCATAAGAGTGTGCACACTCACAGTAGATAGCCCTGTGTGATGTCAGTTCACATACT